ATCCCAACCATTTGCACCACCAGGGAGGGCCAGTAAATATATCTTTTTTTTTTAAGAGTTATTTATTTATGCATATAGAACTAGGGTACAGGCCAGAGGTGCAGAGGAGGTGAGAAGATTTACCAGAGACAGAGTGGGGGCAGAACAGGCAGATCGTCAAAATACACTGCTGAGGGGAGTAGTGGGTGGGTCAGGAGAGGTCTGCCACACCATATGGATCACCTCTGGGGCGGGATTGAACTCATGCAGAAGTGGCTTTAACTTCTTAGTGCTTTAGCTTCTTAGATGCATCACCAGGGAGGGCCAGTAAATAAATCTTTAATAAATAAATAAATAAATAAAATGCTATGAGAGTCATTTGGATTAAGGCCCGCACTAATGATCTCATCTTAATTAATCACATCTACAAAGACACCATGTCCAAATAAGGTGATATTCATAGATAAGGTTTAGGACTTTAGCATATCTTTTTGTGAGAACACAATTCAACCCATAATAGGGAGCTTTTACACATTCCTTAAACCTTGACTCCAAGCCCTGTCTGTTTAACAGATGGCCTCATCTCCAAATTCACAGAAAATACAGAAATTAGAAGTCATCAGAAGGAAATTCAACTTCCCACCATTAAATCCACAAATCTAATTTTATCACCAGCATTTATCCTCTTTTACCACTTCATGGAATTGCTATTTTTCCTAGTTAAAAGCTATATTAAACTTCTTTCAACTTGATATGTCCAGAACTGAACTATCTTCCTCTCAAAACATGTCCTTCCTTCTGTGTTCTTTTTTGTTGTAAAATAATTTACCATCCACTCAGTTGCTTAAGTTGAAAACTACAGAGTTCAGCCTTGACTTCTTCAGCTTCTCCCTTACTCTCTCCATCACAACATTCTTTCTAACACATGTAAATTCCTCACCGATCTCTATGTTTCCTTCCTGGTTAAGCATACTATCTTGTTTCATTTGTACAACTGACTCAATCAGTTCTGTTGATTTTACTATGTGAATATCCAGAGACAAAACATTTCAAGCAGAAGGAATAGTATGGGCCAAGGCCTTGAGGCGAGAAAAGACTTGGTAAATTTAAAAAAAAGGTAAACCAAGTCTAGTGCGGCTACAATATAGTAAGTGGGCAGAGCAAGGTATAAGATGATATCTTAGAGACAAGAGTCCAAGTTTTGAGATCTTAGACATCACAGTAAAGAGTTTGGATTTGATTTGATTTGATATAGGGCAGTAACATGACCTGATTTATAGTTGTAAAAGAGGCTCTCTCAGCAACATGTGATGTGACTATGATCCTATTTTTTAGGACCTGCTCTAGCTGTCTTTCCATGTTTGACATATAAAATGGGAAAGCTATCCAAATTGATTTAATTTAGTTTCAAAAAAGGGAAATCTCTATTCCCTGTATAATTATAGGAATCAAGTCCTTCTCCCTGGAAGAGGAAAAGTGATACATTATATAGAAAAAGAGTCATCAAAAGTCAGAAAGATGACAAATGGAGAGGGAGGTAGTGTCACAGCCCCAATGGATTATGTAATCAAACCTAAGGTACTACTCTTTATTTCCATTCCAACAAAGTGACTGGCTTTATTAAACCAAAAAAAAAAAAAAAAAAAAGACGTCCCACAAGTACTTTTACTGATTTATAAATTTATGTGCAAAACTTTATAAAGTTTAAATGTTAAAACATCTATAGAAAATGGACTTTATATTGACCTGTTCTAGACTATTCAGGATACATATTCTAACTATAGGACAATACTCACCAATGGGATCAGACTTTTGATTCCTGTTCCTCTAAGAACCGTCAGTGCCCTTTACCTCTATATCAGAGTAATTTAGCAAAGAGATGGGTTCTGCGTCATACTGGTTCCCACAGTATAGTTTTCTCTATACCATAGCATAAAGCCAACAAGTCTTCTCATTTAAGAGCCATCCCATAAGACACAGTGCTATATATTTGGTAATAGTGCTATCAAAAATACCATATTACATTAGTTTTCAAGAATACACAATAGCTTAATTAACTCATGGATATAACAACTTGCACAAATAGTCTGTTTTTCCTTTTTAGGCTGGTAGCTTAAAGTATAACCTGGTTTTAATAGATGTAAGTCATGATGATATGTGTTTTAGCTCTTGGTTTCACTTTGCTCCTTTGTTTTCTTTTGACTCACATTTGATTTATCTTGTCTTGCCTGGTGCTATTCAAATTTTTGTTTTTAAGTGAACAAGAATATTCATGGTAACATTGGTCATAAGAACAAAAATAAAAGGAAATAAACTCTTTGCCAACTATATCATATGTTAGAACAGTTGTTTAAAGGAAGTAAGGTGGATCCATATAAAACAGCACACATATAATTTTAAAAAGATTGTTGAGTTCACCTCTCTTCCTGAGTGTTGCCTATGGAGGTGGCAGCCATTTGCTATTTGATGCCATGGTTGCTCTCAGACCCCCTCAGGATGATCAAAAAGAAGACCAAGAAATCCACTGGGTATCAGCCAGATCAATGTCAAAATTAAGCGTAGTTGGCAGAAACCCAGAGACATTGATAATAGGGTGTGAAGAAGAGTCAAGGGCCAGCTCTTGATACTCAGCATTAGTTATAAGAACAAAAAGAAAACAAAGCACATGATGCTTAGTGGCTTCCGGAAGTTTCTGGTGCACAATGTGAAGGAGCTCAAAGTGCTGCTGACATGAAACACATCTTACTACTTGCTGAATTTGCTCACCATGCCCTCAAGAACCATTATACCATTGTGGCAATAGCAGCCCAGCAGGCTGACAGTGTCCCCAACTAAAAGCACGGCTGCACAGCAAAGAAAATGAATGGACAGTTCATTGCAATGTGTTAATAATTCATAAAAAGAAAATTTGAGCAACAACGGAAGCAGAAAAATTAAAATAGCAACAACAACAACAACAACAAAAACTCACACCAATCAGAATGGTAATATTAAATGATTTAATGGTAATATTTAAATGATTTGAAAGGAAAGTCAATTTTAAAGAGGGTATAAGGGGCTGAGATTCAAGGTGGTTACGGGTAAAAGGAACTTTATTTGTAAATGCGAATTTTTAGAAAAGCATATATAGTCATATGTCATCTATTAATTAAAAAAAATTAAAAAGCAATGAGTATCCAAGTTCATTTAGATTCACTGTTTCCCTGGCCCCCCTTTTCTTTCATTGTTAGACTTGCAACTTGAGTTACTTTTCTAATCTATGTAGTCCCATACCATCTTCATCCTCTGAGCAGAAAAACTCTTCCCTTAGTTCATAGAGAAAAGAGTCACCAGAAAGGGAATAAAATATGTCTTTCCCCTTGTCTCCAACATCCTAGCTCTTCATCTCTTGTGAATTATTGTTCTCATTTACACCATTTTTATGTGATATTTGCTTCTTGAATCTGATTAAGAAGAATGTTCCTCTTATTCCTTTTTAACATGTGATGCCATTTGTTCTAATTTATGTGTAGAAGCTTTATATGTAGGAGTTTTCAATATGGCACATATAAATGTGTGTGCAGAAAGCATCTTCATTTTGGTTTGTAAAATTCTTCATATGGAAGGAACTTTTTATATTCTGTATAAATGCTAAACTAAATTTATATACTAAAATCATTACTGTTAAAGGATCATTTAACCCTCTCTTTGATGACATATAGTCAGAGCAGCTTCTTAAAGAGGAATCAGTTAGCCCTCCCCAGCTTAGTGTCTTCTAATAGATTCTTACCATATTTAGAAAAAAATCTAGACTTCATCTAGAAGCTCCTGCATAATCTAGCAGCATCTCTCTAAATGATGTTTAAATTAATTTCAACGCCACACTGGTCTTTGAACTCTTGAAATAAGGCCTTTTTCTTTCTCATCTCAGGCCTCTTATTCTGGAATCTTCTTTCCTTATCTCACCTCCTAATATTTGCTGTTAGACTAATGTGCGTGAAGTAACTTCTCATGACTAGCACTTCTCATCCTTCCGTTCTCAACTTAGGTGACACTTCCTCAGAGATGTTTTACCTGACCACAGTTTAGTTTTCTATGTTATCTTTAGCTTTGCTCATTGTTTTCTTCATAACATTTCCCACAATTTTAAATTATTTGATTTTTTTCATTGACTCATTGGAATTTTGCATAATCCTGAGCTCCATGAAGCCAGTATCCACCCTTTTCTTGGGGCCTGGGCCCAGTGAACATTCAATAATGGGTCTTTGTTGGCTGAATGAAAAGAAGTCCCCTCAACATGCTGTCCTTCTGCTCCTAGTCAGCCCCAGGAGCAACCACACCTCTCCCCTACCATGGAAGGAATCCTCTACCAAGGTCCTTCTCTCCCCTCTCCTAGTGAAACTTGCTGCATCCGTTGAATCTTTCTTCTGTACCTTAAACTTTACAGTCCGTTCCAATCAATACTCAACGATGTTCCCATTAAATAATCTGCCCACCAGAAACCCCCAAATTCCTTCCTTTCCAACTCAGGGGTTGGAGGACCTCGTCCCCTGAGTTTCAGGACTCAAGTGTTCCTGGTCTCTCAGGCCACTTCCTAGGCTCTTTTAGGAAGCTCTTAAATGTTGGGACCCCCATGTCTTGTTCTTTTCAACTCCCAGGGGTTTTCTTCAGGGGGCAAAATATGGGGGCTCTGAAAGGGGGCGCTGAGGAATGAGAATGGGTGGGGGCTGTGAAAAACCGGAGGCCAGAGGTGAGCAACCTGGATGTCGCATAAAAATCTAGAGACATTGTGACGCGTGCGGAGGTGGTGGTGCGCACTGGAGGCTCGTAAGCTCGCGCAGCAGCGAAAATGCGCGCGCCTACGCCCAGGGGTCCCTGTGCGCCTGCGCCGCCGTTGCCGGGCACCCGCCGGGCGAGAGGACAAGCTAGTCAGGAGGTGGCGGCTGACTGGACTCCGGAAGCCCGCCTTTCACCCGGAAATGGTTTTTGAGGAACATGGCGTTGCTGGTGCGAGTCCTTGTGAGTGCAGGAGTAACTTTCTTCGGTCGCCTGCGAGGCCCGGGGGTTGCAGTAGGAGAGGGCGGGGTGGGAAAGACCGAGGGGATGGACCGCCGCGGGGCCTGCGCCATTGCGAAACTGCGCGGGCCCCCTCTGCTGGGAAACTGAGGCAGTTTCCTACCACCCCCTACTCTTGCTTTTCATCCCGTGTTTGATGGAGAGGGGAGAGTGACGTTGGGCATAATTTGGTGAGATTTGCTTTTTCTCAGTCAACACCTGAGACCACTTTCCCTCATGGGGGAGCGCACGTGGGGAGCTGTCTGGAGTTTCGGGAGACCTGGGTTCTGGTTCCTGTTCTGCGACTGACGTACAGTGACCTTGGGCAAGTCAACTTTCGTTCCCCCAAGTGCCCATGTGAAAACGAGGGCTTTAATCACAGCTCTTTCAGATTCTGGATTTCTGTGTTTCAGAAAGAAGAAAATCAGCTCTTTACTGTACAGCTTAAACTGTAGTTAAATGCAATTATATATTATTAGAAGGGAGGCTTCATACCTGTTGTTTTCTTTTTGCCTGGTACAGTGTTGACACATCCTAAGTGTTCAGTCAATATTGAATGAATGGCTGAAAGAAGGACTACTGAACCTTAGCACACATAAGGGAAACTACTGAAATTGGGATTTCAGTCTGACCTTTCTAGCATACTCTGACCTCTAGGGACTAAATAAGTAAGAGTGGAAGAAGTAAAGTGTTAGTATACAGAACTTAATGCCTCATCCTGAGGGGCTGAGATTATCGTTTTAGCAAGTCTTTAGTAAGTTGGGTCAAGGGCATTGTTTTTCATAGCTTTACTTTCTGTTCCTGCCTCAGGCTTGCTTTTGAGTTGCTTTACACTTGTATTGTCTTTTTACATATGGCTTGCTAGGATTGCAAGTTTACTTGTATTCCTTGCCAGTTTAGCAAAGGGCAGTGCCCTTTATTGCTGCTCAGTAAATAATTTGAAGAATAGCTCCAACTGATCTACAGATTCACTTGGCAAAGTAATTGTTGATGTCAGGGCAGACCCTGATTCAGGCCTGGGAACTGCTGGGGAAATGGCAACAAGGATGTTCTGAGTTTTAGGGTTGTTTGTTTTTTTAAAATAGTGATTTATTTTAAGATAGACTTTTTTTTTTTTAAAGATTTACTTAGTTATTTATGCATAGAAGAAGTGGGGTATAGGCCAGAGCTTCGGATTCACCAGAGACAGAGTGGAGAGCTGAACAAGTAGATCCACTGAAACACACTGCTGAAGGGAGCAGCCAGGGAGACAGGCAGGACTGCTGTGCCATTTGGGTCAGCTCCCTGGCTGAGGGTGGAACTTGGTGCTTCAATTGTGCTGCAGTGGCTGGCTTGGTAACACAAACTTTAACCCCTGAGCTATTAGGGAAGCCTTAATTGTACTTTTTTCCTCCTGGACTTTTTTTCACCTTTTTAGTTAAAGAGCAAGTTAAGGAAAGCCACTATCACTTTATACTATTCCTTTCGAATCTTCTTATATGTTATAATATATTGTATAATAAAGCAATGGAAACTCCCTTAAGGCTAGTTGAAAGTGGCAGATCCTTGTTGGATCTCTTACTTTGTAGAGGCAGTTAGGCTAGGGATAGTGAAAAAATACCAAATACAGGAAAGTACATTTATCTGGCATCCTCAGGGTCTTGGTTGAAAGCTTGGGTCCATTACTTTTGGTGTGAACTTCTCTGAGCCTTGAGGTTTCTCACTTAGTTTGATAGGTTGGTCAGAGAATCAGTTGATTAAAATGAAATCTAAATACTTCTCTTTTAATTCAGCAACTGTTTTTTTGAGTGTTTACTGCATTCTTGGAACTAAAGACTGAGACCTTACCCTCAATTATAATTTTATAGGAGAGACAGAAAACTGTTAATAAAGTATTTAAAGTGATACATAATAGACATCTGTACCAGGTGCTGTGGGAGCAGTGTAGGGAGGCATCTAACTCAGCTTAGGACAGTTGTGCTTTAGAAAGAGATACCTGTGCTAATTGAGAGACCACTAGATAGAGGGTAGGGGAAAGAACATAGACTAGAATTGGTTTATGCTAATGTCATGAGACAGCCAAGGCACTGTAAATCTGGCTAAAGTCAAGGGGAAATGACAGGAGAGGAGACAGGACCTTGTGTTTCATGGTTAGGAGTTTGAAGTTTATCATAAAGGTAGGGGGAGCTATTGGAATATTTTATTTTATTAAAAAAAGACATTTATTTATGCATACAATAACTGGGGTACAGGCCAGAGATGCGGAGGTGGGGGTCAGAGGATTCACTAGACACAGAGTGGGGAGCAGAACAGGCCGATCTACTGAAAATGAGGGGAGCAGTGGGTGAGACAGGAGAGGTCTGTCGCCCATGTGGGTTTCCTCCCTGGCTGCGGATTGAACTGCTGGAATAGTGGCTGGGGACAGCTTCATAGTGCTGCCACTTAACCCCTTGTACCACCAGGGAGGCACCTTTGGAATATTTTAAGCAAGGGAAGATTTTTGAAAATTTTTTGATCCATTTACTGTTTTTTTTATTTTTCCTAACTTAAAAACTGAGAAATAATATGTCAACTATGTATGTCACAACAAATTATACTTATTTAATTGTACAATTTGATAAATTTTGATACAGGTTTACTCCTAAAAAACCATTACCACAATAAAAATAAGGAACTTTTTCATCATTCCCCCAAATTTTCTCATGTCCTTTTGCAATCCTTTTCTTCTTTTTGTCTCCTCTACCCCAACCATCACTGACATTTATTGACATTTCTGAAATAATTCTGTAAAGCTTGTCATCTTTATTGTGTGGTTTCTGGTGTTAGTTTATTGCTCAGTTAATGACTGAATGGAAATTTCCTTAAATGTCTGAAACTATTATGGTAAATCTCCTGATTTTTGCTAGGAGGCTTTTTTATGCTTGTTGGGACATATATTTGGTCAGTCTTTTGACAGTGCTGCCTTATCCAACACTTCCTCCTTGTGAAGCAAGGGTCAACCAGAGATGAAAGTTTAGGGCATTCTCAGATCTTTCCTGTTCATGCACACAGCTCTGAATATGTGCACAGCCCTGGTGCATGATCTTCAGATACCCGGGGATTTGTTGGAACTTTTCAAAGTCCCTATAAACATTTCATTCTCCTGCTTTTCCTTTTAAAGCATTTTGTTTACCCCAACCGTTATCCACTGCCTCAGATGTCCACAAAGTTAAAACAATTGCATCTATTGGCTTTTAATTGGTACTCTAGGGAAAATATTTTTTCACATTGTATGAGATCCAAGATAGCCTTACTGATAGTATATTTCAGAGAACTACTTTAAGATCCTTTCAGGAGAAGTGTAGGAAATAATTACTTGTATAGATACACATAAATACACATATGGTCAGCTGCTGTATCTGCATCCATAGAGTCAATTAACTAAGGTGGATGGAAAATACATACTATGTAGTTAGACCTCTTTGATGGTTGTGTTTATACTCAACCTTTTACAGTCTTTTTTCTCTTCAGTATTCCCTGAAAGATTCAGTTTAACAATTGCTTACATTTCATTAGGTAGTATATGTAATCTAGACATGATTTAGAATATATGAGGAGGGTCTATATAGGTATGTCAAATACTATGCCATTTTATCTGTGGGGGTCCTGGAAATAATTACCCGTAGATACCTAATGGCGACTTTCTGTCTCTCTATTTAAACCCCATAAGTTACTCTGAAACAAACCTGATACCACAGGGTTTATTCTACCCTTTTGCCTTTTTATAATTGGTTAAAACTTCATCTGATAGAAACCCAACTTCCCATTCTTAATAAAACCCTTCCTGTATGGAATCAATCCTTTGAGAACTGAATAAATGGAGACTACAAGGCAGAGTATTTCAGAGAGGAGACTGCGAGTTGTGATATTTAAGTGTAATGATGAATGTAGGGGGTTCCAGTTATAAAGATCATGTGTTCAAGTCTTCCAACCACTGTAAGCTTTTGAGAATAGAAATTCCAGGTTAAAAACAATATTTTGAGGCCCTCCCTGGTGGCGCAGTGGGTTAAAGCACTGAACTAAGAAGCTTAAGCCACTTCCGCATGAGTTCGATCCCCGCCTGCCCCGAGGAGATCCATATGGTGTGGCAGACCTCTCCTGACCCGCCCGCTGCTCCCCTCAGCAGTGTACTTCGTCGATCTGCCTGTTCTGCTCCCCACTCT